TCCTCCCGCTCACGGAAACGCCTCCGGCAGAGCCCCGGGGAGCTCCGGGGAACMCACGGGAGGTGCCAGCGCCAAATCCTGCCCTTGGGTTTGGCTGATCCCCAGCACAAAAACACGGGCTGGGTGGGGAATGATGGATTTGGGAATATCGATGGGTGAGGAGCTCGACATTCCCTGTGCCCTGGGTTCATCCCCAGCATGGACAGCAGGAAAGAAGGGGGATTCTAGCAGGAAAGAAGGGGGATTCTGCCCCTCTGCCCCTGTGCTCTGTCCCATCTGCAGAGCTGCTCCAGCCCTGGGGAACAACAGCAGGAGGAGCTGGAGCTGCTGGAGAAAACCCTGAGGAATCTATGGAGCTGATCCGAGAGCTGGGGATGCTCACCTGGAGAACAGAAGGCTCCAGGGAAACCTCAAAGCCCCTAAAGGGGCTCCAGGAGAGCTGGAGAGGATCTGGGGACAAGGGATGGAGGGACAGGACACAGGGAATGGCTTCCTGATAAGAAACCTGTATAAAACACCTCCAGGCATTTGTGTGAAACCGCATTCCTAACTTGGTATTACTTAGAATTTGATGAACTGTGGATACACTGATGCAGAACACAAAGATATCCCAACCAGAATACAGAGCAAATTCCCGATTTGAATWGTAAAAGTGTGGTCTTTCCAATAAAACACATCCAGTACTTTTTTTTTTTTCCACCACATTTTGCCATGTTCTCTTATCTCTTTAACTGTCTCGGCAGGTTGCCACAAGTAACATGAACACAGCTTAAGGCGTTTTTTTCAAACATCTCAAAATACAGAAAAAAAAAAAAAGAAGGCAGGTTTCACTGCCTCACAGCAGCTCCTGGAACACTTGGAGTCGCAAGACATTATTTTTCAGACCTTCTGAGTGAATCTTTCATGTCTGGAAAGTTGTGATTCACAAACACCTYGCTACTTCAAAGAGTTAACAGGTCACAGATTTTTTTTTCTCCCTCTCTTGCTTCTGGTGACTAGATAATAAATTCAGCATGTGAGCATTGRCTCCTAAGGGTGATCTTTTCAAGTGTTCCAGAGCTGCATATCCAGCAAGGGAGCAGGGCCAGCTGGTGTGTTCAGTCATTATCCTGCTGCACAAGGAAGTAGAACTGGGAGAATTTCCTTAGAAAAATCTCAGTTTTTCCTGGGGCAGCTGTTTTTGTGCAAAATATGAGTCATTTCAGGGGTGAGCAGCGTTTGGGTGGCAGTGAATGCTGAGGTTACTTGTGCCAACTTCACAGGGTTTGCTGTGAAATATGAATTAATATTAAACGGTGTTTGGTGTCTCAACAGCTGCCCTGAACATCCCAAATTCAGAGATGGATCCACACAGCATTTAGACTTTATTTCCAAATTAATTAAATTGAATTGAATTGAATTGATCTATGGATGTGTTAGAAGGGGTTTGGGATGTCTTGGCCTGCAAAAATCGTTTGAGGATCCCACCTAAACATGATCAGAATCAAAACATGGCACACACTGTACCGACAAAATATCCACTGCAGCTGCCAGCATGAATTTGTCTGTCTCTGCTCTAGAAAATGAAATTGTCCCTGAGTACAAAGTACTAAATGCTTAATAATAGCTGCTTCAATCTCTCCTTAAAAAGAGGAAGCATAAGGACAAATTGTATCAGTCATACTRTTAAAATATTCATATGCAGCCTTAAAAAAAATGAAAAAAGATAATTAGAGTATGTTCAGAGTTCTTTAATGGCTGCTCTACCATCTCACAAGCAGTTTGATCATAATGTTAAATGGTTCTTTTAAAAGTTCTGCTGTAGATTACTTACTGTGGAGCTCATGCTTTTCATCAAAGAAAAGGCTTTTAAACTGCAGAGGGAACCATGTATGACTCACGACAATTTATTATATGTGTACCACAAATATTTCTCTATCACTTTCTAGTATGTTGAAATTATAATTACTTTTTCTCAATGAAAACACAGACATAAGCACAAAACTTGCCAGACTGGATCCTACCAGTGAGCTGCGTGAATCGTAAATCAAATTAAAAGTACAATTTACTTCAGAGCTTCTTAATGACCAGAGATCAGTACTGTTGCTCAATAGTGTATACAGTTCTCTTAAAAAAAATTAAAAAAATAAAAAAACAAAAGCCTGAAGCAATGATATTGTGTAATATTGAAACAGTGGTAAAAATTAACAGTGGTTTAAGACAGTTRCAGGTGAAGTTAGAATCCCAAAAAYKAAATAGTCTTACTAACTTAAGCAGTTTGGGGGTTTTTTTTAAGAAATATTAAAAATCCCTTTATCTGATRCCATTGTTGTTTAAATCAAGACTTGGCTTGGAAACTCATTTGGAAATCTCAGTCCTTCTACTCACGAAAATTCTGGAAAATCCCAGGCTGATGACCCYCTGCCCATCTGTAATTAAAGGTCCACTCCCTGTCACAGGGGAGTGCTAATGGAATGAGGAGTCAGTAATTATTAATGATGAAGGCCTTTTGCTGCAGGAGCTAAAGGATCTGATGGATGATTAGGTAATATTAAATATGAACACACCAGTGGTTGGAAATCACTTTATTGTAAAGCAACTGCTATTGAGGAAGTCATTTACAGCTCATAAACATTGGAAATATGGAAAGAGAAGCCGTATTGCAGGGATTTGGGAGAAAGCAGAGACAGCAGAATGGAAGTTAATGRCTGGAAAATTGTGTTTTATCTTGAGGAGACTGGATAGGATGGAGGGAGGRAAAAGCATTCACAGAGTCTGGAATTCACCTGGGAATTTACACTCACAGGACCTAAGCTTTCCTCTCATATGTGAAATGTTCTCTCTGAGCAAGGCAGAAATTTAGCGCTGTGTTATTTCTCTGCTTCAGGCTTCATCTTCACATGCTTTCATTTCTGAGTAGTCTTTCTTCACCAGACTTGAGAAAAAGCCACGTTCTGTTGGAGACAGGGGAAGAACTTGGGTTAAATTCTTGAAACGCACCATAGCTGAAACCAACAGCGAGGTGAGCAGTCAATCTTTGCATCCTAGAAGTGATGTTAGAAGAAACAGGCGGGTTTAATTTCAGAAGAAAGCTGCAGCAGAAGCCAAAAGTGAGGAAAARTGTTTTCCTCGTGCATAGGCTGTGCTTTCCCTACACTTACAAACGAAAATAAAACTTACAAGGAAAATTGTCTGCAAGGAATGTTGACAAAACAAATGCAAAATATTTCCTCTTGCTAACAAAGTTGGTGATGTCGGTTTATTTATTCTAAAAGCCTGCGTGCCTGTGAAGTGGTTCCTCCAGCATCAATTCCTCCCCACAGCTCTCAGCTGCTTTTCAACATTCTTGGTCTAAAGTGTTTTCTTGATCAGCATAAGGTGGGAATAATTCACCAGAATAGGAGAGAATACTTCAGGTTTTCAGGGCTGAAGCAGAGTTCAGGCATTTTATCCCTAAAAAAAGATGCTGATGCAAGGATTTGTGAAATCCCAGAATGCTTTTACTATTTTCTAGCCTTTTCTTTGGGCTATACCCACTTTGAGTAACATCTAGAACAGGACAAGAATTAAAGCAGAGCTCTGACACAACCAAAAGAAAAGTCTTGCAGGGCATTCTCTCCTCAGGCCATTTTCTTCCAAAATACCCAATAATTCAAATAAGCACTCAAATAGGGCTTGAAGATTAATTATGACAAAGAAAACCCCTCACTGAAGCAGTTGTCATTCCCCCACCATGGTGGGGGTTCAGCCTGCCCCATACCTTTGAAACAGGCAGGGAGGGTGAAGTTTCCATCCACACATTCCACATCCACAGTGTAGGCACAGGATTTTTCCTTGTTCTTGCAGAAGAAGGACACAGTTTCCCCGTGCAGAATTCCATCCTTCAGGTCRTCCTGAACTTTCTTCTTCTCCCCATTGTACAATACTACAGCTTTCTTGACTGGTATTTTACACGGGGCTGTAAAAAAAATCCAATTATAAGGAACAGGTTTGAAAAGGGGGTAGAGATCCCATCAGAATTCTGTACAGGTGACATTTGGGAATGAAAAATGTGTCCCACATACATACAGAACTCCTGCTGGTATTAAAATGCTGGAGAAATTTAAACCCTGAAGTATAGGGTATAAAGTCTCCAGTGAAAATCCAGCCTCAGTGAAATTTCTGATATTAAATAAGAAGAGGAGAGGAAATACTAAAACAAAATAARGTTACATGGCTGATTCTTGAAGTCAATTCAGACATATATCATATCATATCGTATCATATCATATCAAACATTTAATGTTGGGAGTGGGTGTAGATTATCAGCACCTTACAATTCCTTTTTTTGCTTCCCTTTGATCCCAGCTCCAGCACAAAGGAGTGACAACAGTCAGAGCGGTGATCTGATGGAAGAATCCCATTTGATTCCTGGTTTCTGAGGGATGGGTGTGCTCACCTCTGCAGATTGGCTTTGTGGACCAGTTCCCAGTGTTTTCACAGCGGGAGAACTTGGATCCCTCCATCACGTAGCTTGTCTGGCAGCCAAAGCTGACACTTTCGTTGTAGTGGTAAGTTCTGCGSACTGCAAACTCTACAAACCCATTTTCTATTCCTGTTGGTGTGGGGCAGGTGACAACTGTGGGACAAAACCAAAGCCAAAGCTTTATCAGTGYCAATTAAAAAAAAAGGCCACATTATATACCTGGAAAATGTGTAAAAACTTCTGTGGTGATTCTTTCACAGAAAAACACAGCCAGGGGAAAGATAGCTTAAGCCCCACCACAAATAAATAAACATGGCTTGTTTTAAAGACATGTCTATTCCAATCTGTGGTTATACATGACCTAAATGTGGTGGAATTTAACTGAAAGCAGGGAAGCTTTTAGGACTGTTTTTAGGAAGTTTTTAGGAAGTTTTYAGGAAGTTTAGGAGGRTAAGGCTGACKGTTTCTTAAGTAAATCTGWGCACTCAGAACCAAATGTTGGCTGCACACTGGAAGCCAGGCTCAGGCTCTCCACCTTTAGCAGGGTTTATTTATATAACCTTTACACCTGCAGCAAATATTTTGTCAATCCCATGTTGTGTGCCATGGGTTGGCAATCCCCTTTTCCTGAAYGACCACAGAATTCAACTGCAGAATAATTGTGCTGTATGTTTGCAATAACACATGTAAAAAATAAAATATTGAGGTTGTTCATGTAGCTCAGGAATATTTTTTGGTGTGGATAAAGGTGAGTTACTCACCCTTGCACACTGGAATGCTGCTCCAGGTGCCATTGGCCATACAGGTGGCTGTCTCGTTCCCAATGAGGGCCAGAGGAGGGACACATTCAAACAGGATTGTGTCCAGGAAATGAGAAACATTCCCAGGATTYAGGCGCCGGTAAGAAAGGACTGAGAATTCCGGGAGCGAGGGAGGTGCACAGGTCACAGCTACAACAGAAAATTAAGGGTTRAAGATTAAATTATTGTAGGATCAGAGGAGCAGCACGTTTATAACTAAATTAACCCATTTTGAATCGTAGCTGGCAAAACAAATAGCTCAAATTTAAAGTCTCAGGGGCCTCAGAGTATGGAATTCATGAGTTTTGCTGTATTTTTCAGGCAATATTTTTACTTTTCAATAAAATGTTTTTGCAGGATGGGTTATAGCAAAACCCTGCATAAGTACAAAGGCATGACAATATCCTCTTTTTATGCCAGGGAGGAGGAATTTGAGTGGATAAGCATCTTACCTCCAGCTGTAAATAGCATCCCTGATCCCGACCTTTTGTACAGACCTTTAAACTGTATTTCTCACAAATCCACGCATATAAAACCAAATATGCAGGATTCTGCTTGGTTTTTCCTGACCAGCTCAGTGCTAGAGGAAACTTCTGAATAAACATCTCTAATTCTGAGCAGTGGAAAGGAATCCTTCTGGAATAACAATAAGGATAAAAYAATTATTTATTATTGAAACACATACGTTGGCACTGTGGAAAGGTTCCAGTCCACTTTCCATCTGCCATGCACTGGCTCGTTCTCGACCCAACGAGGTTGTAGCTGGAAATAAAATGATCTGGTTGTCAGAACGGGGAGATCAATCAAAGCCCTGTCATTTCTCATAAACTGACTTCACTTTATTCAGAAATCCTTCTCTGGTTTAGCAATTCCTGACCTCAAAGTTTAGAATCGGATCTGAAAAATCCTTAATGTTCAAATATTGGGAAGATCCCCACAGAAGGCTTGACACAACAGGATGTTTTGTTGTTTCAACTTTGTATTCCTGCAACTGATTAATACTATGGATGTATGTAAATAGCAAACGTTGATCTGTGCTTGCTGATGCAAATGTGATGGTTTCTTGGGAGGAGTTCCTAGTTAATTATGGCAATTAGGATCAAATATTGGAAAGAACTCAGCACTTTTCAGAACTGAAGTCACTGAGGTGCATAATAATATTTTAATCCAGATATTCACTTCAATTTCCATACACACACTACATCCTGCTCATCCTCTGTACTYACACCATTGGCATTTACTCTKGGTTTTYAAKAAATCCTCATCCTGWGTCTGTCATTTCAATATCATGCAGYGAAAATTGTAAACTATAAAGAYCTGTTAAAAAGATCCCTAAATTATRATTAGCAAAATCGAATCAARTCCCATTGSKAYGTTTGGTKTCATAGTTGAATKTATTTATTCCTTATCTTGCTCCTCTTTACAGGAAGATGTTGTTGAGGCTGTTGATATTTTTCAGTGAACTCTAGGCTGTGTCTCACCTGTGACCTTCCAGGTAAGCACTGTTTAGTCATTAATTACSCAAGAACAATTAAATACCTGCTGCKATCAAATGCTTCCCTGCATTTACCATCATTAATTTTTTAAATGCATTCTTATTTCTAAAGCTAATGAGTAGCTTTGAATAAAAGTGCATTTCCTGCAGGTAAGTCAGGATTAACCTCATGTTTTCATTTATTGAGCTTGTAAAGGCATGGAAACACAATTTCCAGCCTTCAGAGCCCAAGAGCATAACTTTGATGGAGATTATCTACTCTCTGCTGTAGGATTTCATCTCATGATGTAATAAGAGGATTTGAAAAGCAGGGGAAAGCAGTCCAGAATAAATCTTCGTATAAAATCTCTGCTATTTTGGTGGTTTCCATATTTGTAAGACTTTTCTTTGGAGCAGCAAAGCTCCATAATGTTATGGCCAAGACTGAACAGAGGTGGATCACCAGAAAGGCCTTTTTTTTAAATGATTTCTGAAATTGAGATATTGAATTGAGTTTTTATGTGCAGTTTCCTGTGTTCTCTGTCTTGCAATATGGCAGTGGGTGATGCTACAATGTGAGTTGGGTTTTTATTTGGCAGCATGAGGAAGGGACACTTACCCTGGATCACAGGAAAAAGTTACAGTGCTCTGGTACTGGAACTCTTGAACATCAATTTTCCCATTCAGCAGGGGTGGAGGAGGGGGRCATTTCTTTGCTGTTTATTAAAGATTTTTAAAAAAAGGATCATATCATTTCATGAGGCTTGAAAGAATAATTTCATTATAATGGGAACCAGTGGATCAAAAACCTTCATTTGGGTRTTTTTGACATTTCGCTTCTCCCCTGTACCACATTCCACAAGTCTGGCTGCTCTATCAAAACACAGTCATTTCCAGGCTTCTGTGATTAAATATTTTTAACTCTTCATTGTCTGAGGAATAAAACTTCTGAGGGATGCAATAAATGGCCAGTGAGGGATGCAGTAAATGACATCTGAGGGATGCAATAAATGACCTCTGAGGGATGCAATAAATGACCTCTGAGGGATGCAATAAATGACCTCTGAGGGATGCAATAAATGAGCAGTGAGGGATGCAATAAATGACCTCTGAGGGATGCAATAAATGAGCAGTGAGGGATGCAATAAATGACCTCTGAGGGATGCAATAAAGGACCTCTGAGGGATGCAATAAATGACCAGTGAGGGATGCAATAAATGACATCTGAGGGATGCAATAAATGACCTCTGAGGGATGCGATAAATGACCTCTGAGGGATGCAGTAAATGCAGGGTTTTCAAGCGGTCAGTGCTGTTAGAGGATGAGCGCTGCTGGGCTGGGGCAGATAAGGGTTTGCCATTTCCAGGTCCAATCTCCACCCCACCCAGGAGCTGAGGCTTTAGGGCAGATGTAGGACAGRAATGGGAAGATCCTTCCCCTATTACCACCCCTTTTCTCCCGCTCTTCTCCTCCCAGATGGAACACACCCCATTGCCTTCCACCAAGCAAGGGGAAGAACCACTGTAGTCACATCTGCTCAAACCCATCCATTTCCTCCCGTGGATGCTAAAATCTCCTTTCCAGCCCCATGATGCCATAAATGAGGAGCTGCTGGGGTACTCACGGAGGCAGAGCAGGGTGTTGAAGGCCCAYTTGCCCGTCGGGAGGCAGGTGTACTTCCTCTGCCCGTTGTTGGGCAGGAAGCCGGGCCGGCAGGTGTACTCCACCTCCTCGCCCACTTCATACACCTTTTTGTCCACATTAATCGTGGCAAACAGCACTTCTGGTGGCCTGGGGCACACTGCAGGGAAGGAGATGTTGGATCAAAAATGGGAGCTGTTTTTATTTCTCAGCTGGAAGAGGAGGGTTCTCKATCATTTTGAGTTATGGGATCTCCCTGCCCTGAGCAGAGCTGTCCTTTTGCATTGATGGATGCCATCAGTATTAGCCAGAAAAAAATGTGTTATTCTTCTCCTCCTCAGCAGCTTTATCCATGGCCCCAGTTAGGTTTTGTGTCACTTTTTAAACTAAAATCTACTTTTCCTTCAAAATAGATTTATGAAGGTGGTGCTCAAAGTGAGTCAATCACGGTAAATAACCTTGGACAAAACAGGGGGAGAGAGACTTAGAAGAAAACAAATACCTTTCATTTTTAATCTAAATCATTTTGGTGGGGCCAGGTATTTTTTCTTGTAATAAATTTTTTTCCCTCTGGTTTCTCCAATTTTTTTCTGTTTGCTGGGGCAGACCCTCTGTTCCATGAGCCAGCTCWAACATCTCAAACATGCTGACAGCATGAACAACTCATCACCCAGAGGGTGAGAACAGGAGGGAACAGCGAGGGAGGAACGGAGAGAGCAGCCTGAGCTCTGTGAGGACGTGGAGAGAGGCTCCTGCTGGCATTGAGGGAGAGCACGGAGGGATACGGAGCTGCTGATGGAGAAATAAACCCCAAAAACAGGGAGAGGGGACACGAGGGMCAGCCCAGAGCCAGGGGTGAGGGGGAAAGGGGCAGAAAAGCGAGGCAGGAGTGGGAGAGCAGAGCAGGGGAGCGGGCAGAGGATGGAGCAGGTGAATTCCTGGCACACACAGTTCCCCCCTGGCATGCAGAATCCCACATCTATCAGCTTTTCTCCTGCTTTYCTTCRTTTCATAYCTCTSTACACAGCCACTCACCTGCCMGTGGRTGAGGAAAGTRGAAATRGAAAAAAGCATGGAAAGGGAAAAGRGCASAAAAGCTTGCAKAGAGAACCCCTGTTCTAAACACTCAACCAGGGTTATGTCGAGGCTTTAAAATCCCGTTGTTTTCTGCAGTTTCCCCAATTCCCCTGCAGGATGAGGGTGCCCTTAGGACATGGAAGGCACTCACCTTTGGAGGCCAGAATGCTGTGGCTCAGAGCCACCAGGACGCCGAGCAGTGCCAGGGGGTGCATCCCTGCCAGTCCCGAGTCCCGAGTGCCCTGGGACAGAGATCCTGCCCTTAAAAACCCACACTGGGATGGTTACACATTAACTCTTGGTGTTTATTCCCATCCCAGTAAACAGCAGAGAAAAGCTTCCTTGTGTGGCTGCTAATGAAGGCTGAAACAGTCGTCACATGGCGAGTTGGGTGCATAATGCGGGAATTCAGAGGGTGATTCCTGCTCCAAACAGGCTCCTCTCTGGCTGTTTCTGCTCAGCAGCTCCTGTTGGGACCCACGGTTCTGGGGAAAACAGTATTCTCAGCATCTGTGGARGATGAGGATGTTTGGAATGTGAAATCRGGACAAATAATGGAGCTGTCACCCYGAGGCTCRTGTTATCCCTYGGGWRTGGACATTTCTATGGACCAAAGACYCCRGTAGTTACAGCAAAATCATTTTAAGGCAAAATGATCCATTTTGGAGTGACATTGGTACTGTCCTGTGCCTCCAGTGATGTACCAACCCCATGCCAGTTTGCACAGATGATGATCTGGCCTGAAACTTCGGGCTTGGGGGCCCTGCTTGATCTGATTGCTGTTGTCTCCCAATTACCAGATAACCCAAAGCAGCAGAGACAGTGCTCGGTGCCAGCACTGCAGGAAGGCTGAAATGACAAATCCTGGCCTTATTTGTGACAAGGGAGTCATAAATCTTATTTTGGGTGCCATAAAACCTTGTTTTAGCACTGCAAGCTTGGATCATCGAGTCAGGACTCGACAGGTATCAGCCAAGGTTCTGATCACTGCAGTTCTCCTAATTTAGCAGATTTTAAACTGCAGGAGCATCTGATGTGCAACCAAAATAACGTTTGTGTAATGATTGTTCCACAGTTTGGTGTTTCTAATCTAAGTATCCTCCTCCCCTGCTGACTCACAGCCTGCGAGGGGGAGTGAGGGACATCTGAAGCTCTGAGAGAAGCTGGGTTATGTCAAGCTCTTGTTTCTGGAATCTCCAATAGTTTGTTTGTTTGGTTTTTTTTGTTTTATGAAATTTCTCTGTTTGCATTCGAAACATGAATTTTAGCCACAACATTAAACAATTGGGAACGTGGTATTCTGCTCAGAAAGAAAACGCTGCGAATGTCCTGGCTGGAATATTTACCAAACACACAGCGCCGAAGGGCAAAGTACCACTGCTAAACCAACAGAAAAAGATCGACTTCATTTTCTGTATTTACATCTGATTATTTTTCCATTTGTCACAGCAGCTTTTTTCCTCTTCTCTTTCACAAGGGGCTTTTCCCTTGGAGGCACGGTGATTTAATGAACTTTACTGCTCCTGGTTTAAACCCTTCCTCAGACCGGCCCGATATTTGGATTCTGTCCTTTTCTGTGTTTAAAATAYCGGGAATAGATGGGGAAAATTTGGGGAATTTCGGCGCAGCTCCCGCGCAGCTCTGCCCGGGCGCAGCAGRGGGCGCAACGCGCTCTGCCTTGGGCAGAAAATTCCAAAGTTTTCTGTGCCATAAAACAGGAAAAAAAGAGTTAAATTACCTGGGTTGTCATGTTCAGCCAGCCAGAAGCCAGGATCCACTTTCTGTGTGTTATTTTCCAGTCAAATATTACATATATTTATATATATTTATCTATAAATATATAATATATCAATCAATAAATATATATAAATATAAATTTATATTTTAATATGAATATATATTTTATAAAATGTAACTTTATTTGTATTTCTATATTGCCCGGTCCAGCAGGAGGTGTCCCTGCCCATGGCAGGGGGTTGGATCAGGATGATTTTTAAGGTCTCTTCCCACCCAAACCATTCAATGATTCTGTGATRTTGGAGGCAAACGTGCAGTGCCAAATATTGACCTGACAGAATGTCTTGGTCACAAAAGAAGCAAACAGTGACTATATCATTTTAAAGAATATTATTTTCACTCAGTAGCAAATTTTAGGGGTAAACCGCATTCCTAGTTACCACTGWTTTTTTTTCTGAACTTAACAAAATAATTATCATTTTCATCCCGGATCTGAAATCTCTTGAAKCACCTGCTGTGGGCACTAAATTCCCAGTTCCTGTGTGATTCTGAGATGTCAGAGGGCTGGCTCGGACAGGTGACAGCAGGGCTGTGTCCTCCTCAGAGGCACCAAGGTGTTCCMTTAAACTCACAGTGTACAAAACCAGAGCGCCTTTTACAGCGACTTCCTCCTCTCCGCCTTCTCATTTCCTGCACAGAAAACCCGGAGAATCTCTCTCACAGTTCTGCTGTGACCCAAATATTGTGAAACAGTCTGTTCCTCCGACAAATTTATCTAAACGCCGTCTAAAAAAATCCCGCGCTGAATTTCTTCCTCGGGAATGTCGAATTACGAAGCCTCGGGGGCAAATTATTCTCGGTGAGAGTTTGAATCTGCAGTGAGCAGATCTGCAAGGGATGATTTTTGAGCTGTCAGTGTGAAAGCACAGTATGGAGGCACAGACCTTCTCTTCTTTTTTTTTTGGCTGGGCCCACTTTTCACTTTTCCYTCGGTGCATTCAAGGATGAAGCCATCAAAGAAAGCCTCCTCACTCCAGCCAAACAAAGCTTTCAAAGTTCTCTCCATTATTATTCTTCCACTTGCCATCAAGCCAAATGCCGCAGATTTCTGTGAGAGCAGCATCTGACCTGTTTTATTTCATTATTTTATGTATTTCTGTGTGCATTGCCTGCGGTTGGCATCTTGTTTACAACCCAGAGAGAGGTCGGGATGTGCTGCAGGTTCTCCAAGGAGCTCTCTGTGCTGCAGGAAAGCACTTTGCACCCTGAGCACATGGAACTGCCCTTGGCATTTTGGCACCCAAAATCCAGCAGAGCCCTCCTGGCCACGCTTCACCCCGGGGTGACCCCTGCCCTGCCCAGGGAGGATTTTTCTCACTCCATCCTCCCCTGGCACGGTGCCACAGCGCTGCTGGAGAGCCCAACCAACCCMAGATTTATTCACTGCCTCTCTGTGCCTTTCCCAAGTGATGGATAAGAGGATCAGAAGCTGYTTGGGATTTTCATCTCTGTTAAAACCTCCCCGAAAAGGGCGCGTTCTGCCTGGGAAACAGAGAATTCCTGATAAATCCACAGCCCCAGTCAGAGAGATCCTGGGATCTGCATCASCCCAGGGATATCATCTGCTCAATTCTCCCTGGGCACAAGGCCAGAGCGTTCTGGGTGATTAAATCTACCTTCTTTGTGACTCAGTTCCTGTGCAGAATAATCAAAAAACTGATGCCGATCTCCCTTATGGTCAAACCCAAAACCATCCCACACCAGTCCAAGTCTCATCATCAGTTTCATTTGAGGTTTTTCTTAATGGGATTTCATCAATGTTTTAATGTGTGATTTTAAGCAGTTTATGTCCAATTAAGACAATTACAAGATTAAGATTTTTTTTTCTCCTCAATCTTTATTAAGTTGACTAATTTTTTTATTTTATAATTTTATAATAACATATAATACATATATAATATAATGTATAATTCTATATAAAACACTATATAATCATATATTTTTATATCTATTTACACATTTGGATATATTTACTTTTTTAAAAATATATTTATATATATATACTTGTATTCTTGACAAGTTACTCCAAAAGGAGAATCCCTCATTTCACTCTTGTCTGACAAGCCTGAAAAATCTAAAAAGAAATKAAAATTCCACAAACTGTTGGATCTGGAGGGTAGACCATTGATTTTATAGGATATTTAAGAGTGCTCTCAAACATTTAAACCCAAGTGGGTGAACTTAGAGCTAATGCCACAGGTTTGTCTGGAGCCAGGAATTTTTCCAGAAATGTCTCCCTGCTCTTGGAGCTCCTCCATCCCCCTGTGGGGCTGAGGTTGTGTCTGATGCTCSTGGCACCACATTATTCCGTGTCTGGATCCTGTTAACAGGTTTTTACTGGACCTCAGGGATGGTTTCAGTGGTGAGGACCATTAGGAAGATCTCAATAAACTAATTTCCCTTTGTGAGAGCCTCTAATCTGCAGCAATAAATCCAAGGGGAAGCTTTCCTAAGAGGAAGCAGATTTTGGAGGGGCTGGTATCAAGAACTGGAATCAGATTTTCTGGAGGGCTCCAATCCTATTTAGACAAATAAATGAAGGCCATGATTTTAAAAGTGCTTACTTTGTTTTTTTTAAAAAAAACCCCACATTTTGGGTGTGTTGGTTTCTTTGGAAGATGCAGCTCTGCCTTGTGGTTTCCAGAAGGTTTTGACAATCTGGAAATCTTTGACTCAGCTRCTTTGACAATCTCCACGTGTGTGTCTAAAAATTCTGATTCTGGTGGTGTCATCTGCACCATCAACAAGCCAGGCTCTTCCTGGAGTTTTGAATTTACTTTTCAATTTTCTATAAAAACAACAAAAATAAATATCAAAGGTTGTTTTTCCTTTATTCATTGCACATGGGGATTTTTTTGCGTTGCCCAGGAAGACAGAATGATGCTGCCAGCATTTTGGCAGCAGGAATGAGATGAACCTGCAATCGTTCCAGCATTGCTGAGACTGATATCAGTGACATTCTCGTAAAYTCAAGTTTTGAAAGGAGAAGATGTCCAGATGTTTTGGAAGGAACAGACCATGAGCACTTTACAAAGTGAAAAGTATTTATGACATTAGTTGGAAATGCACAAAAAGCACAAGTATGGTCACTGCATATTTTGGGGTGTTTTTTTGTTATTATTTCTAGGAAAAAATATTCTTGTTTTTCTCCCTCATGCCATTTAATTATGCAGTTATTTACGAGAAGGACATTTTTTTCCATGTTTATCAGGCCACAGTCAAGCTGAATAATATTATTCCTTTGTGCAGGTTGGTTTAATCACTGTTCCAAACATTTTTAAACTGAACTGCTCATCTCTCGTCTCACAGGCACAGCACATCTGGAATAAAACCCACTGGCATTTTCATATGGAATGCCCTGGGTTGTGTTCCTCCTTTTTTAGCAGCACTGTGGGTGATATGTTTGATTTTTAAATTCTGTTTTCTAGAAGAAAACCATTTTAAATGTAA